TAGAATAGAGTAGAATAGAATAGAACAGAATAGAGTAGAATAGAATAGAATAGATAGATAGATGAATAGATAGAGCGATACAGAGATAGAGCGATAGAGAGATAGAAAGATAGAGAGAGGAGATAGAGAGAGAGAGAGATAGAGGAAGATATTAGAGATCGATAGATAAATAGATAGAGAGATAGAGCGATAGAGAGATAGAGAGAGAGAGAGATAGAGAGAGATAGAGAGAGATAGAGACAGATTAGAGATCTTACATGCTAGATATTCGATAGTAGATAATAGATATTCGATATTGGATGTTGGGTATGAGGTATTATGCATGAGATATTAGATAGTGCATATTATATATAAAACATGTTATGTTATATTATATGTTATATATTTTTTGTGTGTATATATATGTATTATCATATATATATATATATTCTCATTAATGAATATTACTATGTTATACATATATACATTATAATTATAATTTATATATTGTATATTATATACTACATATCATATATTATATATATTTAATATCATATAGTATTTATTGTAGATTTATCCCTTATATATTATACATAATATATTATACATTATATAGATTGTATACTATATATTGTATACTATATATTGTATATTACATATTATCTATTATTTATTATCTATTATCTATTGTTATTTTTTCGATTCTATATATATATATATTTACATCTTATTATATGTATCATAGGATATATATATATATCATATTATATATATCATATTATATATATATATCATATTATATATATATATATCATATTATATATATATATATCATATTATATATATATATATCATATTATATATATATCATATTATATATATATCATATTATATATATATCATATTATATATATATATATCATATTATATATATATCATATTATATATATATATCATATTATATATATCATATTATATATATCATATTATATATATCATATTATATATATATATATCATATTAGATATATATATATATCATATTAGATATATATATATATATATATATATCATATTATGTATCATATTATATATAATTATATCATATCATATATACAACATATTATGTATATATATATCATATTCTATATCATATATTGTACATAGATGATTTCATCATGACGTTTCCTGACCAGAGGGTAAATAGGGAAAATCTCCTGTCATGACCAGTGGCTTTTCATTGCGATGTCTCTTCTGTGCTCCGTAGCTGGTGATGGCGGTGATGCTATGGTAGTATCACAGATATCTTGGTATGTCTCCGGCTCAGTTGCTCGGCAAAAATCAACAGACCACTCCTGCACAACAGGCTCTCCATCGGCCAGAAAATTGACCTGACAAAGCGCCAATAGCCAGGGAATGGGGGTCACGACCATCCCTTCGGACCATGACATGGGTATGGGGGAGTGGGGGTCTGCATCTGCTGCGACCCTCAAGTTGCCCCATCTGCCCTTAACTACTATATAATTATATAAGTGATTCAACTGCACCTCCAGTGGTCAGTGATTTGCAGATGATAGACCTGAAGGTTGGAGTTGGTCCTGTCCTTGGTCGTGCCACCTATGATATTCCATTACGGGGAATGACCCTCCATGGGCATCAACTATTTTGGTGCTCACACCACGAAAAAACAGTGATAACAGTGGTAGTTTGGGTCATTTGGGGTGGCCTTCTGCTTGTCAGATTGCGGAATCCCAGTCCTGGCACACTTGGCTTGGCGAAGATGCCAGGCAAAAAAACAAAAAACATTATGCTTTACCACCTGGGATACCCTTCATCTTTATCCTCCCATTTGGCCACAATGGTGGTGAAATCACATCAAATCCGTGCTCGATATGAACAATCCCAACGTTTCTCCAGAGTTTGTTGTTTTATACTTTTAAATCATCAGATCCGCACTTCAGAGTGATTCTCAAGGATTGGTTTTTCAGAAATTCTCAGAGATTCAGCTGAAAACCATGGGATTACCGGGAAATCGTTGGAATTCCATGGAATTCTCCGGTTGATCTCTCGGTTTTGATCTCCCGTTGACCGTTGACCAACGTTGATCGAAACCTCAAGGCGCCCTTGCACGGCGTGCTTGGCGTCGGCGAGCCGCTGACCTGACATCGTCGCTCGCCCGCTGTAAATGCTGGCTGAAACGGGATAACTAAATTGCGCATCTATATGACATGAATATGAAGCATATTATGGCTCTTTTTATGGCATAGGATCTATAGACTATAGACATATATATATATATATCATAATTTATATCATACTAAAATATGTGTGGACCATGTTGGATCTATATGGTGTTGCGTTCGGCCGGTGATCCAGACGTATAGATCGGTCTCTGGATCACCTGCGTTTTGGTATGGATTGGGGGTGTGGATCGGCCTGTGGGTTCAGGGTATGGATCGGGGCTTTACATTTTGACTCGTAGCCATATGGGTATCATCTAATTACATGGAGAAAAACACAAAACATTAGCATCAATATATGTATTACCCAGAATCAAACTATATAATTAGTATCCATCATTCACAGAAAAACTTCTAAATCATGGAAACTTCGGCATGGAAAAAACTTTGCATATAACATCATATAACTCATATAACCATTTTCTGATGGATGCCCTGCCAATCAAAGTTGTACCTGGATGCCCTGCCCGAGTGATCCAGCCCCAGAAAATTCCGCTGACACGTTGGCAAATCATGGTGGATCCCGTGGATGGCGACACATACCCGCCTCTGCCGTCCTCAGTTGTCGTCTGAGCTGGACAACCTCCTGAGGGGAAAGGGGCCCAAATGAGCCGGGGGAGTTGGTACTCTTTGGCTCAACTCAATCTAGTTACGTAGTGCTTGTCTTTATTGCTTCAAATGGTCTGAAATGTTTTAGACTTTTCTAGACTGTCTCAGATTATTTGCGACTTTTGCGCTATGTCAAGCCAAGATCGGCATCCCTGTTGAATTCACCCTATCCTCAAGGTCCAATGACGAATTGCTCCAACAACCTTCATGTGTCCATCATCTTCCGTCCGGCCTGGCGAAGCGCCTGCACTTGACTTCGGGGAACCGTCTTGGCCTCGCGGTGAAATCAAAGACAACATGGGGACATATGCATTATATATATATATACACATAAAATATCATCTGTATACCTATAACATAATATCAAACATATACATATATATATATGAATATATATATATATATGTATCATGATATAATCTACAGTCTATCCTTTTGGGGGGATGATATGAAGGTCAAACCTAGATCAAGAACAAGAATGGGAGTAGTCATACCCACCCCACAAGTGGAGGCACTTAAAAGGGGAATATATGAAAAATAACCAGAAAAGGGCATTGGGTTCAACCCAACTCCTCGGGATTTGGAAGGCAGCGGTCCATTTTCTTTGATTTCCCATCTTTTGCGGTGAAGCAGCATTTGAAATGGTGGCAAAATGATTGTCAACCTCAAAGGGGGCCAGCGTTACAGCGTTCAGAAAACATATTTGAGGCTGAATATCAACAGGTGCTCCTTTCGATTTTCCAAATTCAGAAACTCACTTGTAAGTGGCGCTCTAAGTGTCCCCTTAAAGAAACCGTTGGAAACAGCCAGCTGCAGGTTGGGAGGCAACAGGATCTCCCAAGTCGGTGAAAGGGAATCCCCGAATCCCCCACGTCTTGGCGGAAAATACGGGAGAAACAAAAAGGGTATGGCCCCGGGTACGGGTCAAAAACCTGTACCCTGGTGAGCACAAAAATAGCGTGCAAACTAAACCCAAATTTTGGATCGTTGAAGCGTTAAACCATGTTAAACCCGTTTGGTTGGGACTGTTAAACCATCTCGTTTTTAGGCTTACCAATGGTATCATAGTTTCTGATCCATCACCACGAAGGGCAGCCCATCTTGGGGCCTTGTCCAAGTGCTGTTGTAAGGAACCATCCTGCAGCGCCCTCATCAGCGCAACGGCCAGCTTGGTTCGCAGACCATCGTCCTGGCGATGCCAAGTTACATGGCTTACTTTGGGCCTCTTGGTCATCCCAGCATGAAATTGAGAATGCTTGTTGATTGATTGATATACGTATGTGTATATACATATATATATATAATTTTATATATATATATTGATATCTCGGATATCGGTCACTATCAACATCCCTACTAATGGATTGATTTCCATCTACCCAATATGGGCAGTTTACCCAAGTTTTCGCCATGGCACACATAGTAAGGATGCGTGAAAAAAAACTTGAAACCGTTGGAGGCAAAGTTTATCTGCAACATCTTGCCCTGCATGGTGTGCTAATCACTCCAGATCAATTTTCCGAAGCGTCGCAGCATCGACACCCCAACCCGGGGTCAACAAGCCGGTGATACCGTCAAACCTCAGTTCGGTTTCGAGCCCAACGGGATGTCTGATATGAGGACATATTACAAGAAGGAGATAAGTGAGTTGGTTTATAACAAGACCAACGATTGAATTTATGGATATTTATGGTGGGTATCATCTACGACACTTGTGCTATGCCCCGAAGTCTTTTGGGATGATTGTCGAAACCATCATTTTTGGTGACACTGACAGTACTTTGTGGCTTTCTAGTATTTGGCGATCTAATATATAACTAAATGGCTCTGGTTTTGCGACCCCCCAGAGACGTTGTTGATGACCCTCTGCGGTGAATCTGCTGTACCCAAAACTGTGTTTGGTCCCTTTTTACATAAACCATTAAAAAAACCTAGAAAATAACCATATTAACCCTAAAGAAACAATGAACCCCCAAGAAACCCTAAATGAAGCCTGAAAAAAAACCCTGTGAAAATATATCGAGTGGAATACATATGGGGCGTAGCGCACTGCGGGATTCTCTACAGGTGGATAAGGTTTTACCTCTGCCCATCCGCCATTGGCGGAGTTTCGCTCTTTTGGGCCTCGGCTGGCTCGCCCACGAAGAGAAGCTCGACTCAAAAGGGATCGACTGGAGGCTACCTGGGGTGATCTTTGACAAAGCTGCAGGTTTTCGGCCGTTACCACCACTCTCATGGCAGCTAAAGTAGTAAAGTTACCGAGTAGAACCTGTGGCAGTCCCCAAATAGAGCATGAAGACGGGACTTGACTATCTGCACTCCCTGTAGATCACAAAGATTCAAAGATTCAATCTTCAAGGATGAGTTTCAGGATGACCGTAGAATCAGCAAAAAATGAGCACTCAGTGTATCATAGTGTATCTATATATATATATATAAGTGTTCGAGTTCTCTTTCTCGCATGCTGTACTTTGCAATGGTAAACACTCTGCCCTTTTTCATGGAGATTTGTTTTCTGTAGGTAGTGTTGCAGGTTTTCATAACATGGAATGTGATGAATGTGGCAACTGTAACAATGAATCCCCGATTTCCAGTTGATTATGGTTTATAGTGGTATGTAGTATAACCCAACGGTTGATTATGGCTTATAACCACTACAATGATGGTATATAACCACCATAACCCTTAAGACCATCCCCAGGAGCCAATTGTCGGAAGCCTCTCTGCTCAACACCTTGACAACCGGAACCGATGTTCGGCCTCATGGCGCCAACCGAGACTCAAAGGGAATCGGATTCCTGTTTCAGCATGGAAACTACTGTAATTATGGTAGTTGAACAATCAAGGACTGCGATTTTTGTTGTTCGCCAGAAAATGGCCATTTTTCGGACGGGAAAAGGACAATAAACCGATAAAGCCTGAAATTCGGAGGGTATTTTTTCTCCTGTGGCTCCACCAAAACTCGGCGCCAGGCTCTCTACTGCGCCCGCCTGGCAATCCATTCTCCAACTGGATTGGTTGGGTTTTCCCAGTCTGTATATCTTCCTTGTTCCCAAAAGGAATGAAAGACTACATGCTGATTGATTGATGGAGTTCATCATTCTTTGGGGGGTAGAAAGCAACAGAAAATGAAACTACCGCCACATTTGAGGGGACATGAGCCAATATAATATCAATCGATAGAACTATGTCGCAACTTTTACAGTCCTTGGGGACCCAAAGAATCCACCAGTTGATGCAACTAAAGTTGTATGCCAGATTATTTGGTCATTGCATGTGAAATTAGGCATATGTTTTGATAATATACATACATACATAACATAACATAAGACAACATAACATTACATTACATTGCATTACATTACATTACATCACAATACATTACATTACATTACATACATACATGTATGTATATATACAAATATACGTATATATATACAAATACAAATAGATATACATATACATATACATATACATATACATTTACATATACAAATACATATTTACATATATAGGTATACATAAAATATATATATATATATTGAATGTGTATATATATATATGTATATATATATATGTATATATATGTATATATATATATATGCAAACATACGGTGGACGGAAGAAATCCTGCACCACCTTGGATGGTTGAAACCTAGAAATAATGGGATTAACCACCTACGAACTGGTGTAGGATTTCTTCCATCCACAGTATGTATATATATATATATATTGTGAATCGCTCCACACTGGTAGAAAATCCCCTTCACCAGCTCCAGCGCACTCGCAAACGTTTTCACAAGCAGCCAAGATGGTAAATGTTGTCAGGCTTCCAAGCAGAAAGACCAAAGGCACTGATGCCACCGATAAATGCTGTCCTCAGCAAACCAGAAAGGATTGGCCTCAATCCTATGGCTTCAAGCGCTTCCTCAGCCCTCCCACCACGAGCTGCCAGTCAGCCAAAGCGGCTGAGGATTTCCACGTCTGGAGTTGGACCCTCATGGAACATGTATGAAAGGCTGTGCACATGTGACAAGAAAGCAAGAACATGACTGGGATCATTTGTTCATTCACACTCGTAAAAACAAGAATTTTCTACTTTTCTTGTTGATCTTTGCTTTCTCCACTTGTGGTAGCTTGGAGCCACTTCACCCTGGTTCTGTTACATGCCCTTTCTTTGAGGATCTCAGTCTCGTCATGTAAGGAGTATTTGCCACATTGGAGGGTCTGACGGAGAAAATGACATTGCATAATTTTGGTTAATGCATCTGCCAGCTGTGCTCCCGTGTGAACCCATCTAAGCCTTACCCCTTCAGCCAGCAAGTCTTTAATGGCTCTTGCCTGTAGTTGTGTACGAAATTCCTGGCAACTGGGTGGAGCAGTCCGAGTGACCAAATCAAACAATGATTTACAATCGGTGACTGCTATTGAGGGGTCTTCTTTGAACGTGGCTGTCGCAAAAGTTTCTGGAAGTTTATTGAGTGTGGTGGTTGTATTCTTCCAATCTGTCTTGGGGTTCCGTATCCAGCTCCAAAAAAGTCTCAACCATGACAGCTGGTCCAAAGTTGTGCTCAAGGACGTGGTCTCTGCTGACAGCGTGCTGGTGACAACTCTTTGAATTTTCTTACAGCCCCAACTGATTGGATTTACTGGACATACATGGTTCTTTTCTATGTCCGCATGAGTGGTCATGATGATTGTTCCTGTGTGTGACTCTGGTTGTTTCTTGGAAGCGAATGATGCGTCAGAGAAAGCAAGGAACCGTATCTGGTCCATGGGAATCGGTTGAATTCTGACATGCGTATCCTTGTATTTCTTGGCTTCATGAAGAATTCTGTTTCCCTGGATGAGAGTCTCCACGGTCGCTTTGTTCACTTCGCTCTGCAGAAAACTTAAGCGGCTTGACAGGTCTGGTCTCGTGTTCACGGATGCATACTGGAGTGATCCTATCAGTGCTCTTAAGTCCTGTCTCTCTCTCTCTCTCTCTGTGACTGGAAGGTTTTCTTGTATTTTTCGTTGTGGTTGGATGTGAATTGGATTGATTTTGGAAACGTACTTTTCTTGTGACATGACAATTGAGTAGTCGTTTTGTTGGTGCATTTCTATTCCCGTAAAGACAAATGACTGCGTTTTACGCGACCCAAATGGGAATTTGGCCTCAAGCCTTTTGATCATTTCGTGAAAGTATTGGTTTCCTCCGCAAAGGCCGTCATCCACGTGTACCCCCAAGATACCCGCTGGCTCATCTTTTCCTTCTTCATATAGTAGGTATAAGCAAGGATCAAATGGAGATGGTATGAAATTCAGGGATCTCAATTGCTGGTCCAGTTCTGTATACCATAAGAAAGGAGCATCAATTAAACCATACGCTGATTTCACTAGTCTACAAACTTCACTTGGTTTGAGGTTCATCGCTTTCACCATTTCAGGGACGGGTTCCACAGCTATCAGTCTGTCTTCCTGTGTTTTGCCTTGTAGAAACGCTGCCTTAATGTCGAATGACATGAGTGTCCATCGCATGGATGCAATGACCTGTGCAATCAACATCTTTGAGGTTCGTCCTAGTGTCGGGCTATCTCTGGGGATAGTTTCTAGTTGTGGGTCCATGTAGCCCAAAACTACTAACCTCGCTTTTGCCTTTCTTGACTTTCCATTATTTTCTTTGATTTCCTTGGGGTCTTCTAGAGGTTTCCAAACATACAACCATCGACACCTGAGGATCTGTTTTGGAGAAATCTGATGACGAAAAATTTTTGCTACTGTTCCTGTCTGTAGCCAGTTGTTCACTTCCTTATTTTTCGCATTTTCAAACTCCTGTCGTTCCGCAGGATCTAGAGTGCTAAGTTTGACTTCTGTTCTCTGTCTTTTTGCAGTGGTCGCAAGGAAAAGGAAAGCTTCTTCGCGATTTTGATTTTGGCTTTGCATGGCATTTGTCAGCTGTTCGGGACTGATTTCCAGTTCTGTTCGCCAGAAAAGGTCTTGTCCATCTGGTCCAATTTCTGTTTCCACATCATGGCACGTTAGGAGGTCACAGACTAGCTCATCGGCAGTATCATCAGGGATTGGAATTTCATGAGGTTGTCTAGTGTCTAGTTCTGGGATGGTGGTGTCGTTTTCAGTCTCTCTTGGTGTTTCGGCATTTTCAGGCTCTTGGTCAGGTTGATCTGCTGAGCTCTGACTTGGGGTTCTTTGAGGTGGACTATTGGTATCGTTAGGGATTATTCCACTGGGATTAGTGGGTACTGGGTTATTGTTTGTGATGGGATTATTATTGGGGTTGCTGCTTTCTGGGATGATTGGTTCAGTGGCATTTCTGTCCATGGTTGGGATATCACGGTGTTCACTTCTCGGCCCGTTGTCACCGGCAATTTGATCCAGGGGGATCAGGCGAGCTTCTACGGCGCTGACAGGTCTGACATGCTCGGGTGCTGCTTTGAGGATGGATCCCATATTGTTGCAAAACACTGCGTTGGAACCATCCTGTTGGATGACTTTTGCGGGGCCATACCAGGATCCTTGGTTGGAAACCACTTTCCACACCATGACCCACTCTCCAGCTTCATACGAACCCCTGTGTGGTCTCTCACGACGTAAGGCGGCCCTGCGAAGAGACATGTCATTATCAGCTGAGTGAAAAGCTCGGCGAGCTGTTTCTCGGCGAGCTAACATCTCCCGGAAACGTAAGCCCTCGGACGTCTCCTCACATGCTTTGGCATGTGTGGGTAGTTCATCATCGCCAGTTAGTGAGCCTGGAATTCTGGCGCTTTTTCCAAACACTAGCATTTCTGGGGAATACCCCTGTCGGATTCCGCATGTGTTTTTTGCTGTGGTGCACTGTGCTAATGCTTGCTGCAACTGTGAGTAGTTGGTGATTTCGTGTTCTAGTTCATACTTACTCAACATGTTTTGGAGCACTCCTCCATGTCTCTCTATGCGCCCCATCTGCCAGTGCGCATTTGGAGGGACAACCGTGACTTTGATCCCCAGGCCTTGCAGAAAGCTTTCAAACGATTTGGAGTGAAGCGGTCCTGAATCTCTGCACGATTCGGAGCGACAACAGCAGAATGATAGTTGGTGCCATGGTCTATGAAGTGGTAAAAATGGTATTCTCGACCATCTTTGTTGGTCCACTTCACTCCATCTAAAGATATCTTGTCTCCAAATTCTAAGGCTTCCTTCAGGGTTGCCGGTCGCTGCAGTTTGGGCTTTTGTGTCATCTGACACACGGAACACTTCAGATCCAGAACTCCCTGAGACAGTTCAGTGCTGTAACCCCTCTGTTTAAGTACCTGACTTAATTTTTGGGGGTCTGGATGGCCTAGGTTCTTATGTAGCCTTAATGCTATCTTCTTATTTTCGGGTGACATGGTTAAGAACCGGGGACCATGGTTGGAACTGTTCAGATCGACTTGGCTTGGCTCGCAACTCTCGGATGCTGTTTCTTGGGATTCTAATCTGGCTGGACTTGGCATCGGATGCATTGGTTCAGGCATTGCAACATCTACGGATGACCCATCCAAGGTCGCAGATTGGCTCGGTCCAGCTGGTTCCACTTCCTGAATTACTGGCTTGGCAGAGCTTGCTACTTCAGCATTGGGATTGCAGGCAAAGACTGTTATATTTAGGTAGCTTGGATGCGATCTCCTCCACTGCTGCCTAAATGACAAATCTTCCCATTCCTCCCATTGATCTTCAACCAGTACATTTCGGGTGTTTCTCTGCATGATTACCGCACGGCGGTACGGGGCTTCTCCTCGCAT